GAGAGAGAGAGAGAGAGAGAGAGAGAGAGAGAGAGAGAGAGAGAGAGAGAGAGAGAGAGAGAGAGAGAGAGAGAGGAGAGAGAGGGCAGAAGAGAGCGGGAGAGAGAGAGGGCGAGAGAGAGCGGGAGAGAGAGGGGGTGATGGAGAGAGAGCGGGAGAGAGAGGGTGAGGGAGAGAGAGGGAACGATGGGAAATCTCACGCCGAGTCACAGCAAGCGAGTAGACGAGCCAGCTAGCGCCGAGCGCTCGCCTAACTGCCTCAACAGAATTTGCTCGATGCAAAAATTGGTTAGAAAACAAGTTTATCTGGAAGCTCGTTTGCGGAGTTATGATATAGAAAACTCCGTTAGCAGCACTCCCCCAATCGCCTGCGCGTGTAACGAGACGTTGCGATAAATCATAAGGGGGCGAGTCGCTGTTACTCTCGCATGAGTTGAAATACAGTTAAAACTCTTTATAATTAATCATTAATCTCGTCGCAGGAGCGAACGCAGAATTGCGTTGTTTATTAAAATTATACAGCGATTACTGTTCGCGGTAATGGTACAGCAAGTGCTTCGCAATGACCACGAGCTCTATCACATTAGCTCCACGTAGCAAACAGCAGAGCTACGCTTAATTTCTGAGTCGCTCACCTACTTGCCCGTCTTCCAAGTCATCCACGCAATTTGTACGTCTTATCAAAATTTGGGCTATTCTCTCATTAAAAAGACGATGTCACATGTTTACGACGAGTAAAGATGTAAAAGAAATATTCGACGTGTTTTTTTTTTGGTGCGCACAAGTATCGCTCATCGTGTAAAGTGTATGGAGTCGTGGGTGTTTACTCACATCAGACATAAAATAAAGGCATAACGCATAAATTTAACCACAATAAGTGAGCGAACATAACTGTATTTTCATAGTTTATAATATATATATATATATATATTACAACATATGTTGTAAAAAATTCAGATTTGAAAAAAAGAGAGATTTTTATTCATATGCACTTTTATGCATTTTATGCACTTTTATGCTTTTATGTACTTTTTATGCATTTTTATGCATAACGTTAATGTTATGAAGGTTATAAGCTGACACGTATCGACTTTAACGTCAAATTGAACCGCAAGAAGTGTTGTCATCTGAATTTGTGTTATCCATTATCAATGGAACGGATTCCCGGCAAGTACATATAAATAGTGGTATAATATCAAGAGCATATAAAGAAGGATTCTTTATATGCTCTTGATAATATATATAATAGTAGAAACAGCTGTGATGATTGTCAGTGTTAGTGTAGCAGGTATGTTCTACTGTGAAGCCAATTACCATATATAGTAGAAGGAGTGGCTCATGCTTACTTACCACATTAGGATGTTTCAGTTTCAGCAACACACCGATCTCTGTTCGTATAATCTTCTTATCTACCTGAAAGCAGCTGCGAATTATTGTTACACGTGTACATCACGCGGAGCGCGTGACGCATGCGTGCCATAATGACACTGTGCGTAGATGAGCGGCTAAAACGTTTGGAGATGGGTAAAGAGCGAGCAAGCGGGCGAGAGAGAGGGGGGGAAGAGAGAGAGAGAGAGGGGGGGAGAGAGAGAGAGAGAGAGAGAGAGGGGGGGGGAGAGAGAGAGGGAGAGAGAGAGAAGACAGAGAGAGAGAGATTTTGTTTGGTTGTGTCTTGGTTTTTGTTGCGCGCGGGGACTGTCAGAACGGTAGAGAATATTGCGCAGTAACTGTCGCGACGAAATCAAGTGGTCCGTTCAACATTTCACTAAAATATCGCCTCGTTCAAAATCGATGCGAATTCCTCCTTTCTCCTCGCGCCGCATAAAAGACTACTTCTAGTTCTTTTGGCAGGAGCTGCTATAATTTACATGTGCTAATCCTTCCGCCAACAACCTTACAAATTTTGTAGCGGCACTGTGAAGTACACGGCGGATGTGGCGTCACTCACACCTACACGTCCCAAACAAATACTTGATAACTAGTTAGCTGCCGCCACGCGGAAGAGGACGAGAGGGTGGGAAGGAGAGACAGTGCAATACTTGTGGAACAAGTGGGTCTTCCCCTCCCTTGCCTTATGTATGTTGCACCGGGGTTAGGTGTAACAAGACACCGAAAAAGAGTGTTCGGTGCTTGAGGGCTGTGGGTGATGGTGTCACCGTGACTATGCGCATGAGAAAATAATCACCACCTGCTGTTCCGCGTGTATAGCCATCTCATGACACCGATACCAAACTCCACAACAGATGACGCTCTCGCTCTGGCTCTATTTACTGTATCCTGAGTTGTACGAAGGGGGCGATGCATGCAGTTTGCACCGATACTACAATCCGTAGCCTATTAATGACGTCAGTCGTCAGGTTAGGTTGCCACGGCCTCACAAAGGTTGGCATCGCGCTCATCTTCGTTATTGACTATATCGTCTTAGCCATTGTGTTGAGCGTAGCAACGACGGCGGCAACCTGTTGACAAGCATGCAGCTGCCGAGCCCGAGGCAGAGGGCGCGCGGGCGAGTCGTCGAGATACCGAAAATTGGTTGCGTGCGTTTGTGAGGCGATTTGCCCACGTCATTCCCTTTGTGAAAGTTGCTCATTAGCGAGCAGGTTTTGTCGCAAAGGGGGAAGCCGATCGCTACTCACAGCATTCTAACAGACACTGCATTCGTTGCAGCCACCGCCGCTAGAGGCGCTGCCGGGTCCGGAAGCCAGATAACGGTAGGTATAAGCGGGGGGGGAAGAATCGTCGGTCTGCAGCATATTGGAATCTGTATTTGCAATGCTCAGCATGTTCCCCTACTGATGATGTCGTGGTATTGTCTGGTGATGTTGGGATAGACATATTCGATGTACCTAAGATTCATTTAAGGATTTTTGTTGGGGGTTTGCCTAGAGAGCTATACGACGCATGCACAAGACAATGTCATAGAAGATGCCATGGCCGGCCTTGCCTCTCCCAGACTTCATATTATCTTGAAACTTGATTTACTCTGCGATGGCCTTAAAGGTCGGTGGCCAAGTGTGCAGAGCGGTAAGACGAAGGACTCGATGAAATGGTTGACTATTTAGGATAAAAGAAAACAGTTTGTGGTGCGAGTGAAGCAGTGTGACGTAGCAACAGATAGAACTGGAGCTGCGCTCAATAGCGTGGCCGTTGTTCTGATTGATGACTATGAAGGCTGCGACGTCTGCTCAATTCCTTTTGCAATAAATTCTCATCGTACACTATTGCAATTTACTAAAGCGATGGTCTTTAATCATTATCTTTAGAAATATAAATAGGCATGGATAGATTAAAGTTACATGAATTGCAAAAACATTAATTAGCGAGTTATTTTCGAGAGCTCACATTTTTCTTGATGATCTTCACGGCATACGGCTTGTTGGTGCGGATTTCGATGCAATTGTAGACGACGGACGTGGCACCTCTGCAACACAGAAAACGAACGAAATCATGTTTACGGGTATGTAGCCACACGTGTACGGGTAGGTAGCATAGAATAGTAATAGGTGTATATAGAATAGGTGTATAAAACTGTAAAACGCGAAGAAGCGACGCGAAATCTCGCTGTAAGAATTGAGGGTAAAATGAATAAATTTGGTTGAATGCAGAGTGGTAGCCAGTTTGCCTAGGACCGGAAGTAACACACCCACCAGTCTCCAGCAACAGATATAACACCGATGGCAATTTGGAAAACATGTCCAAAGCTAAAAACCTAGATATGCCCCTTGATCGAATGCCAGAAAAATGGTTCCGACTGAAAATCGATACGAAATGGCTTTTCGGTTTCTGGCTAGACTTGTAGACACCGAGTCGGGCAAGAGACAACCGTTACTGCTGACCAAGAGCAATTGCTGTCTATTTGTCACAGTTTAGCAAGCGGAAGACCTCGCTGCCAGTCACTCCAGTCATTTGCCTTCCGCGGTCCGCGGAGGGCTGATCAAATAAAGCAGTTGTTACTGCCTATTGACCTATGATTGCGCCGCGGTCTAGGAAAACAGACAGCGGTTTGTCGGCTGTTGTCACGGATGCGGGTGCTAGTGGGAAAGAAACACAACGAGCATGTGCAACCGTGCTGTAAAATGTAGCACGGCAAAAAAATCACGGTACCTGTCGCACAACTACGTTCGTTAGCAATGAGTTTTATAAATTAACGGCTAGCAGTTGTTAGTAACAAACTCGACATAATTACCGTGCAAAAACAAGCCAAAGAGTAAACAATGACGGCAAAGGTAAACAGATTTCGATTGTGAAATAAAGCAAGCAGATAATGCGCTTAGTCATTCAAAGAGTATGCAAAAGATAAAGAGGGAGAGAAGACAAACAATGAGGTGGCCATAGAGAAAGGGGAAGACAGAACTGGTGAGATGAGTATACTTATTTTCTAAGCGAGTAATAGTTGTAGCACTTACCTTCCAAGTTCCTTGAGAATTGTATAGAAGTCGTTAAGTGGCTTGGATTTGATTGATTGCTCGATCCAGTAATTGGGACCAAGAATCCGCGTTACACTCTCCTTCCGCATCTTTTCATGCATAAAATAAATAGAACATGAAATCGCGTGTGAATGCTTTCACCCATGTATCCAGGGCCGTAGCTATAGCGGGGGAGGGCAGTTACCTTTTCGCCAGAGAAATGTAGATACATTTACATCGTCAATGGCGGTCACTTTTCCAGAACACACCACAAACGTGGCTTTGCCCCCTTCCCCAGGCAAAATGGGCTAGCTGCGCGACAGGTATTATAATCAGAGTTGTAAGCCTTCCTGCGTGTAGATTTTAGCAAGTCACCCTGCTTCACAAGTCACGCTATTCTTGCCACAAAGTCTCTTTCCCATTCCGTTCTTCTATACATTACACGCGAATAGTCCCTCGTCCAAAGTGTCTGCCCCTTTTCACCTCTCCTATATCTACACTCCTCACCACTCAGGTCACCTTCAATACAATACCACTTTGTTCCCTTTCCCACTTCATACCCGCGATCGCATTACAGTTTTCCCTTCCCACGTCCCGTTGTATTTTCTCTCGTTCTCTATTCTCTCCGTGTATCTGACCTTCCTGCCTATCAACCGGTCGCCCCCATACCTTCACCACGTCCAGGTTGGTGTTCGGCGTGGCTGCGCGGCTGGAATCCACTTTGGCAGACTTCGTCACACTGACACCCAGCTTGATAGTCGGTGTGGAGGCGGCTGCGTAGATGCCGATCCTTGCGTCGTGCCGGACGACGTCTCCGAGAACGTTGCGTCGCCGATGCGTTGTCTGTCACCGTGTCACGTATTCGCACGCACGATCGCATCCACGCTGCGTCGCGCTAGTTTCGTTGCCTATCGCGCGCAGGTGCGGTCGTACGGGGGCGATTCGGGGGCACGGGTGATTCTTGCGAAGAAATTTTGGCTCGACACGCGCAGGGCTTGATCTGTCTCGATCACTTCAGTGCTGTCACCTCGCGTCCAGCTTTGCGGCTGTTCATTCGGCGTCCGTATTCTCCCTGCACTCGATCTCGAATTGCGCCTAATTTCACTTGTCGTGCGCTACGAACGGGCTCTTTTCGGTCGCGAGTGTTCTATTCAACGATGTCGTTATGGAGCATGCTCTCGATTAGCGTTGCGTGCGACACGCGTTGCGTGTGGTGACTAGCCCGCGCTCGCTATCTTTGCACACATGCACGCGTGGCGGTCACCTTTTTCCCGTGCCCGTATATCGAGAGTCTATACCTAGACGCTACGCTTAAGCCGTGCTGTCTAATGAGCTTCGTATATCTTCTGGAGCTTGTTAGTTGCGAGTGATTCGGTAATGGGAAGCGCAGTGTACGCGCTCGCCTGCGGCGACGGCCATTCTTTGCCGGCTACATGAAATGTCAATCGGCAGCAGACGCAGACGAAGCATCTCACGGGTGCATTCGTCGCGTGGTTGCGCCAAGTTTGGAAGCCCATCGCAAGCGGCCGGGAGAGAAACCTCGCGCAAGCAAAACCACAAACACGGAGAAGAAGACAGGCGAACCACAGAACAAGGAGAGGAGAGCCTTCGCGCGAGTTAAACCACAAACGGTGTGGGGAGAGAGAGCGCGCGAAAGAAAGAAAGAAAGAGAGAGAGAGAGAGAGAAAGAAAGAAAGAAAGAAAGAGAGAGAGAGAGAGAAAGAAAGAAAGAAAGTGTGGAGGAGGAGGCGGCGACGCGCGGCGGGGTGGGGGAGAGGCGCGGGCGTGGGGTGGGGGGATTGAGGTGGCGGGCGTGGAGGGGGAGGAGGCGGCGGGCGGTGGGGGCTGGGGGAGGAGGAAGCGGCGGCGCGCCGGGGGGGAGGAGGCGGCGGGTGTGGGATGGGGGAAAAGAGGCGGCGGGCGTGGAGTGGGGGAGGAGGCAGCGGTGCGGGGTGGAGGAGGAGGGCGGCGACGCGCGGGGTGGGGGATGAGGCAGGCGGGCGGGCGTGGGGTGGGGGATGAGGCGGACGACGCGCGGGTGGGGGATGAGGCGGCGGGCCGTGGGGTGGGGGGATATGAGGCGGCGGGCGTGGGTGGGATGAGGCGGCGGTCGGGGTGGGGGATGAGGCGCAGGCGTGGGGTGGGATGAAGGCGACGCGCCAGGGTGGGGGAATGAGGCGGCGGGCGTGGATGGGGGATGAAGGCGGCGGGTGCGGGGTGGGGGAGGAGCGGCGGGTGCGGGATGGGGGCGGAGGCGGCGGGCCGTGGGGTGGGGGAGGGAGGAAGCGGCGGCGCGCGGAGGGGGGGAGGAGGCGGCGGGCGTGGGGTGGGGGATGAGCGGCGGGCGTGGAGTGGGGGAGGAGGCGGCGGGCGTGGAGTGGGGGATGAGGCGGCGGGCGTCGGGTGGACGGATGAGGCGGCGGGTGCGGGGTGGGGGAGGAGGCCGGCGGGTGCGGGATGGGGAGGAGCGGCGCGGGCGTGGGCGATGGGGGAGGAGGAAGCGGCGGCGCGCGGGGGGGGGAGGAGGCCGGCGGCGTGGGTGGGGGGCTGGGGGTGTGGGGGGATGAGGCGGCGGGCGTGGAGTGGGGAGGAGGCGGCGGGCGTTGGAGTGGGATGAGGCGGCGGCGTGGGTGGGGGACTGAGGCGGCGGGCGTGGAGTTGGGCAGAGGGCCGGCGGGCGTGAGTGGGGGATGAGGCGGCGGGTGCGGGTGGGGGATGAGGCGGCGGGTGCGGGGTGCGGGAGGAGGCGGGCCGGGTGCGGGATGGGGAGGAGGCGGCGGGCGTGGGTTGGGGGAGGAGGAAGCGGCGCGCGCGGGGGGGGGAGGAGGCGCGGCGTGGGTGGGGGATGAGGCCGCGGACGTGGAGTGGGGGAGGAGCGGGGCGGTTGGAGTTGGGTGAGGCGGCGGCGGGAGTGGGGAGGAGGACGCGGCGTGGAGGTGGGGGATGAGGCGGGCGGGCGTGGGGTGGGGGATGAGGTCGGCGGGCCGTGGGGTGGGGAATGAGGCGGCGGGCCGTGGAGGTGGGATGAGGCGGGCGGGCGGTGGGGATGGGGATGGAGGCGGCGGGTAGTCGGGGTGGGGGAGGAGGCGGCGGCCTGTGGGGATGGGGATGAGGCGGCGGGTGTGGGGTGGGGATGAGGCGAGAGCGGGCGTGGGGTGGGGGATGAGGCGGCGGAGCGTGGGATGGGGGAGGAGGCGGCGGGCGATGGGGGTGGGGATGAGGACGGGTCGGGGTGTGGGATGGGGGAGGAAGGCGGCTGGGCGTTGGAGTGGGGGATGAGGCGGCGGGCGTGGGGTGGGGATGAAGGCGCGGTCGACAGGGGTGGGGGAGGAGGCGGCGGGCGGTGGGGTGGGGGATGAGCGCGCGGGTGTGGGGTGGGGGAGGGGCCGGCGGAAGCGTGGGGTGGGGGATGAGGCGGAGCGGGTGGGGTGGGGGATGAGGCGCGTGCCTGAGTGGGGATGAGGCCGGCGGGCGTGGGGTGGGGGTGAGGCGGCGGGTGTGGGCTGGGGGGATGAGGCCCGGGCGTGGAGGTGGGGGATGAGGCGAGCGGGCGCTGGGAGTGGGGAGGACGGCGGCGGGCAGTGGGGTTGGGGGAGGAGGAAGCGGCGGCGCGCGATGGAGGAGAAGTGGGGAGGGAGGCGGCGGTGTTGGGATGGGGGAGGAGGCG